AATTCTGGTCATTTTTGTGTTTTTGGATTTTGTTCCACATTTTTCCTCCCACTCTGTCAATCACAAAAGGACAAATGCTGTATGAGCCCAATATTGTAATAAGGAAAGGTTTACTCAAGGAAGGAAATTCACTTTGTTGGTTACCAGGGATGGGAAGGAAGGGGATGGAAAATTTCAGACTAGTTGAGGGTCACATGTTGATTTGGGTGAGGGGAAGAATGGTATAGAAAGAGTCTATGACCAGTATGATGACATTGGGGAAAGGAAGGACACTGAAACGTACACATAAGATATAGACAACAGGCAAATACTAGTATATGCACAGTACTGCATTACCACTAACACCAAACACAAGGCTATGGATATATGCATAGACAGGTGAGAAGATCAGGTGGGGGTAGGTGAACAGGAATATACCTTAGACCAAGGATAGATTTGGCTGAAGATAATCTTACATATGTACTTGTGCTACAAAATTGCCCACGTTCATTATAGAAGTAACAGAGGACAGGGTTGGAGTAGTTTCTCAGAGACAACCAAACACCTTGAGAGAATCACCAGGCCTCTGGGCTTGGGAGCATAGTCTTGGGGAACATCATGCTCAACTGGCACAAAATAGTACATGAAAATCTTTTTCCACAGCCCACTTTGGTGAGTAGTGAATGTGGTCTTGAAAGCTTTCGAGCAGCCATCTAAGGTGCAAGTATTGGTCTCCTCTCATCTGGAGCAAAGAAGAGTGAAGAAAATCAAAGGCATCTGGAAACAATTAGTCCAGGGATAAGATGAACCACAAGGATCTCAGCCTTCATGACCCTGAGACCAGAAGAACTAGATGATGCCCGGCTACCAATGCCAACCACTTGGAAAGGAATAAAAACTGGAGATCCATATGCAGTTTAAATATAACAGGAGGCAAAGTTAGGATAACTTCTTAGCCACAAATAAGTACCTTAAGTAAGTCACTGGGCCTGTGGGCTGGTGCAAAAAGGGCCAGGAGGCCACATCTTCTGACCTTCTCTAACCACACAAGAGGAAGACAGAGTCACTATCAGTAGTAGCCCAAGGCCTATTCCTGCAAGGCCAGACATGCTGCCTCCCTCCAGCCCTTTCACCAACCGTTCCTCCCAAAGCACCCACCACCTCTCTCCTGGTTTTGATAATTCGCTGCAGTGGCCACACAGAACTTACAGATTATGGGGTTTATTAGGGAAGCACCAGGCTACAATTCAAGTTCAGGAAAAATGCTCAGTCTCTTTCCCCGCCCACAGTCTCTCTCCCAGCAGCACGTGTCCCTCGGTGTCTCACTCAGCAATGTGTGTCTCTTGCATCTCTTTCAGGAGCACATGTCTCTTTCAGCAGCACGTCTTCCTCAACCAGCAGTCAGAGACTTCTTCTGCCTCTGGGAGGCCTCCTTTTGAGCCTGGCAGAGTGGCCAAACTAACCAATCATAACATCAGAATTCTAAGCACCTGAGAGACAGGAACCTCCCAGAACATTGTTTTGCACCACTCCCAACAGAAATACCCCAGGTGGACAACTTTAGCAATCAGGAGCTCCTCAGTTGCTCATGGCAAATCCCACCTCGGAGTTTACAAAGACTTAAGGGTAGAAAAGCCACACTAAGTAATTTACTACACTGCAGCTGGGAACCATGGTCATGGGGGCATCAGGCTCATTTGGCACAACTATTGGGATCTTAAAAGCTTATGAGTGGCAATCTAAGTGGCAACTATTGATCTCTCCTCATCTGGAGCAAAGAAGAATGAAGAAAATCAAAGATGCATGGAAAGAGTCCATAGGACTAATGGACCATGAGAACCTCAACCTGTATGACCCTGAGATCAGAAGAACTAGGTGGTACCTGGCTACCAGTACCAACTACTCAGAAAAAGATGAACATTGGAGATCCTGTATAGAGTGGGAGAAAAATATGAAACAAAACTCAAAATCACAAAAAAGACCAGCCTTACTGGTCTGATAGAGACAGGTGAAACTCCCGAGACTATGGCCTCAAGTCACCTTTCGGGCCTGGAATTGATCCCACCAGTGGCTTAACTCTCAGCCAAACAATAGACAGGCTTAGGAGCTGAACACCTGCACCAGGGAGATGCACTCCTTAGAACACTCAACCAAGGGAGATCAGAAGGGCAGCATTTGCACAGGGGTAAATGTAGGGAGTCAGGAATGCATAGTCAAGAAGGACACAGGGAAGAAGTGGGAGGTGAGATGTTATCCTGTGTGTGGGGGTGGTGGTGTAAATAATGTAAAGCTAAATAAGAACTAGATGCACCTGTTCTGACATACCTACAAATTGTTTAAGACACAGTTATGAACAGTTCTCATTTGTTTTCTGGGGACTTCCTATTATGTCAATTTGACTTTAAAAACATTTAAAGTATTCTATGGACCAAAAATTTCATGTCTGTGAGCCACATTTGGCCCTTCAATTTGTAATCTCTGCTTAACCAGAAAAATCTTCAGTAATTCCATTAAAGATTCCAAGAAGGTATAAGTGGAGCACCTCTTATAGACTGCAGCTGTAAGAATTTGGATTAAGGGACCTTTCCAAATATTTCTGGCATTTTCATTTCAGTACCACCTATATAGAGATCATCAGGTGAGGAGTAAAGGGTTAAAATTCGAAGACCCATATCTTAACTCTGTTGTTCTAAATAAAAGAGTAGATAATTCTCATGGTATTTCTCTGTCTCAGAATGCTTCAAAGAGGCTCTGCAGATAGTGAAAAAGATGGAGGGCCCCAGTTTGCAGAAGTGTTTGTTATTGTCTGGTTCGGTGCAGTTACTATTACCCTCAACTCAAAACTGCTTGGAGGAAACATGTGAGTATCATTAAACTCCCATCTCTTTTTCCCTTGCCAGGTAGCATATCTTAAAATGTATGGAAGCCAGTCTAGTTAAAACATTTAAGAAAAAGGAAAAGTCAAAATAAATAAGGGCCAAAGAGAAAGTTCTTTTAAGACCACTGAACAGAGATGACCTAGTTGAATTAAATTATTGGCAGTCCTTTGATAAGCTTCAGGTGCTTTCTCCAGTCCCTGAAATTTTGGGCACTTTTTTTTAATATACATTTTTTGGGGCAGATGGTCTATAGCTGTCAAGAAATCCTCAAATAGGCCTATAAACTGGAAAGGATTAAGAAACACCATTTTAGAGATTTGATGGGAGAGGGCGGTAGGAATTAGCGTGGATGTTTTAGATATTCTAGATGATTGACTGTGAAGGGAGATTAAGAGGGTAGGAGGAAGTCTAGAGAAAGAAAAAGCATGTGCTTAATACAGAGGAATATCTTTTAAAATTAAAGTTAGCATATAGGCATATATCTGTAGGGAGGAAACAATTCATGATATATAGAAATATGTATAATAAGCTGAATCATGATATAGATTGGCTATGATCTTTATGAATATGAGGTGTTTTTAGATCTTTTTTTCAGAGCCTGTGTGTCCTGGGTTACTGTATACTTCCCTTGACGGTGGCAATGCTGATTTGTCGGCTGGTACTTTTGGCTGAACCAGGTCCAGTTAACTTCATGGTCCGGCTTTTTGTGGTGATTCTGATGTTTGCCTGGTCTATAATAGGTAAGAATGTACTTATCTCTACAATACTAGAGCAGACAACAACATAGGTTAGAGATGGAAGAACAGATGAAGAGCACTGTAAGTGAGATGTGAGTGATATGATTACTATCAGTGTCATCGATAGCATCTTCTGCCCTAAGTAGGAAAGTAGTCATTGATGGGGATGCTATCCATCTTATCTGAGTTGGGTGTCTGAATTTTTAAGGTACCGAGAATCACAACTTTTCTTTTTTTAAATAATGGACACAGTTGGGAAAGGAGATTACACCAGACTTAGTGTAGTCCTGATATATAGGAGGCATAGTTGACTTATGAAATGACTTGGGCCTTACCCTAATAAGTAATCATCATAAAATGTAGTGAACATTAAAAAAAAATTGTCATTGAGTTAATTCGAACTCATGGTGACCTCATGTGTATCAGAGTAGAACTGTGTGCCATAGGGTTCTCAATGGCTAATTTTTCTGAAGTAGATCACCAAGACTTTTCTTTTGAGACACCTCTGAGTAGACTTAAACCTCTAACCTTTCAGTTAGCAACTGAGGGTATTAACCATTTGTGCCACCCAGGACTTGGGCTAACATTTACTGATCACTTATTATAGGTCAAGAATTGTTCTAAGTGATTTATGTGTATTCTCATTTAATCTTCATGTTGTTGTTATGTGCCGTCGAGTTGGACCTGACTCATAGCGACCCCTCCTTGGGTTTCTGAGGCAGTATCACTACGGAAGTAGATTGACCCATCTCCCTTCCGAGGAGTGGCTGGTGGGTTTGAACCGCCAGCCTTCTGGTTGGCAGTCAAGTGCCTTAGGCACTATGCTACCAGAGCTCCCTTAATCTTCATAGCAACCATAAAAAATAAGTATTAGTAGTAGTAGTCTGATTTTATAGATTAGGAATAGTCAAAGAAAGGTTAAGTAACTTGCTCTAGGAGCATCAAATTTCAAACCTAAACAGATCACTAACCCTTAAGAATTACATTATACTGCTTTCTAGCCATAGGTCATGTCATTTAGTGCTTTCCTGCTTCATTAGAAAATTCTGCTAAAAATCAGGAATTGCCTGTAGCAGTGGCTGTGAATGGAACATATATGGTTAAGAACTATATCCTCACTGCCTTTACATTCCTAAAATTCAAAGCCACCTTAAACTAGAAATGTTCACTAGCTCATGATTTAGTGATAGACTGCATATTATTTTAATGTACAGTAACATCTCATTTCTTTGGAAAATGGTTGAAATCTAAGAAATAGCCATAAAAGGTCTGAGAGAGCCAGAGTTATGTTCTGATTGCTGTATATTATGCTTGAGCATATTATCCATAGAGAGCCCCCCATTTCCTCACTTAGACTTTGATAATTTACCATACATTGTAGTTCTAACTAGCTTAGTTATCAGTATCCATACCCATAGTGGATCAGAAAGTTGCATCTAAGTAGTAGGGAGAGAGGCTGTTGTAAGTATTCATTCTTTAATTCAGCAAATACTTAATAAGCACAAACTATGTGTCAGGCACTGTGCTAGACAATGGGGATGCACATGGTTGGTGTCGTTGAAGTTCACAATAGCATGGAACAGGTGGACACCTAAACACTTAAGTACAATAACCTGTTCCAGGTGGGAGGTGTAAGTCTGTGCAAGGTACACTGGGAACATAAAAGAGGATAATGAGCAGTTCTACTTGGGATGGAGAATACCAGGTGGTTGTTCAGGAAAGATTTCCTATAGGGGTGATCCTTGATGAGTAAAAAGATGAGTAGATATTTTCTGGATGGATAAGAGGGATGGCATTTAAAAGAACCGATAACTTGATAAGAAGAACAATTGCTCAGAAAGCACAGCAGTATGAGGCCATTTATCATAGGTGCAAATAACTTTACATATCTTTGTGAGTCCATTTAGCACAGTTCATTTACTTTTCAAAAAAGAATTAAAATATATTCTGCATACAATCTAAGGTAGGGAATGTAGAACCCGTTTTACAAAGGTTTCCATCTAAAATGTTTGAAAAATTTAAAATCTTTAATGCTTGAAATAAGAAGCCCCCATCAGTCTGTAAAACTACTGAAGACTTTTTCTCTGAGGATTGCATATATAACTGAATTTTTACTATAATTCAGTGTTCAAGACTACGCCAAACACAGTTAGTAAATATGAGTAGTTATGATAATATTACTATATTAAATATTCTTGTTTTGTTTTGTTTTGTTTAGCCTCTACAGCTTTTCTTGCTGATAGCCAGCCTCCAAACCGCAAGGCTCTTGCTGTGTATCCTGTTTTCTTGTTTTATTTTGTCATCAGTTGGATGATTCTCACCTTTACTCCTCAGTAAATCAGGAAATGGAAATTAAAGACCAATGAATTGAGAGCTCATTGGAACGATGCAAGTTACCATGGAGCTTTGCCTCTGTCTGTCTTTTGTCTTATTTTGGATATATTTGATAACTGCATAGGTGAGGAATTTAAAAGGGAGCCTTATAGCACCTTTGCCACTTATGTAAGGAACTCATGTTTGAAAAGCTACCCTTATCCTCTTAAATGTTATTTCTATAAAATACATGATCAAAGTACACATATAGTATAATGCCTCCTTGAGGATGATGGCATTACTGTGGTCCATTTGGGTAATAACCAATGATTTGAGAAGTACATAGATGTATCCTACAAGTTGAATAGAGTTAGTAAGTGTATTTCCAGTTTTGAGAATACCAGTTCAGGTGCAACTCGTAAACATATTGCCTTATTACTGTTTGAATATGCCTCTCTTCATGAATAAGAATGTGTAGTCTGTATCCATTTCCATTTCTTTCTCTCTCTTAGACTACAAAAGGCAACGAGTTGGGAGGAGGGTTCATGATATGAGAGGATAAAACATGTATTAACCTAGATTCAGAATTTGACCAGAGAAAAACCTGTACGTGTTGCTTTAAGAAAAGTGAAGGACATCTAAAGATCAACCTGTTTGGTCGTTTGGTATAGTCACCTTTCTGCCAAGCTTAACAACACCTCAGTGGCACTTGAGATTTTTATCTTACTTCCTAGGTCTGAGTATGCAATCTAAGATATTACCAGTTAATGTGTAACTTTCTTTGACTAAAGCTCTCAATGGACAGTGCTTGAACTTACACAAGTAGATCTCATAAATTTAGATTGGTAGGTCTCTAATATATGGGAACCTTTCTGTAAGGATGGAGTGAGACAGTTTGGATTCAGCATAACTATAGGGAACTCTTCTTCATTATTCTATGTAGTCTGGCCTCCAACTAGAAAATAAAGCTGAATTAGAAGCCTGAATCTAACCATGTGAACATGGAGGGATTTAGTGTCCTGATAGCTGATTAACAGCACAACTAGATGCTTAGAGCATGATCTAGTATGAGTTGGGTTTATATCTGCTGCCTTTTTATAGTGGGCTTAGCAGTTTTTTCATTAGATGTGCTTTTTGGGTTGGAGAATGGCAATTTATTTCCTTGGTTTTAGACTTTATTTGTAAAGCTAGTTAGCTTCTCTTTAGATAAATAATTTTGTACATGTAGACCTACATGTACTCTCAACTGCTTATAAATACACAAGCGTGGAGTCTTTTTAGGGAGAAGAGGGTCTACGGCAGGTTAATACTGAGCTAAAAAGAGCTCCTTAAAGAAATACGAGCTGTTCCCTTCTATAAATTATGCTTTGAAGGACTCTAATAGACAAAGATTAGGAGTCTGGATAAAACATACATTTTAAATATACAGTTACTTATAAATACAGGAATTTCTTAATACATTTTTCATCATAAAATTGGAGTATTTATTCATTTTGTATTTAAAATCTTCCTACACATAGATATATTATTTCAACAACATATTTTCTTTATCCAGATTAACCAAATGAACAATAGTAGGACAACTAGGTCCTTGGGATGATACTCAATTACAAAGCAGTGCAAAGTGGGTCCCTTCTTTCCCAGCCTTGTCCAGAATTGGTTATGTGTTTGTATTGATTGCATTTTGCCCTTTAAATTTTAAAACAAACCCTTGTGAGTATAAAGCCAGTGTTTTAGTCTAGAACTGGTGAAGAAAATATCTTAAAACTGGTCCAAATTTTAAAATTGTTCCTAAATTATCATCCATTTCCATTGTCTGGCATTTACTAACTTTTCACTAAAAATATCTCCTCCCAAAATTGTTTCATGATCTGGCCCCACGTTTATAATATAAAATTACAGAAATAATCATGTACTGATCATTGCTTTCTGAAAAGGGAATTAAAACTATACTTAATTATACTCAGGCTATATATTTGGTCAATGTTCCTAAGGCCATAACTTAGGGTGTGTGTATTTGTGTGTGTGTGTGCGCGTGCACGTGCGTACTTGTGTGAGTGTGCATGTGTGTTTTACAGTTACTAGGTATTAAGACAGCTTGTTTTGTGTGTATTAATCTGTCTTAGTTGGGTGACTTAAGACATTGGTTTTATTTGATTTAAATGAAGGTGGATAAAATAAAGGATTAATGATCTTTTTCTGAAAGTGAGTGGTCAGCTTGAGGGTATTAATAAATATTTTCTTAAAATATACAAAGAAGTGTGTTGCTTTCTGTGATAGAATTAAGGCCTCAGTGTCTGGAAGTTGTAAATTTAAGCAGTTTCTCCTGATATACTGCAAAGGCACATGACTGATTTTAGAAATGAAGACTACTCCAGAAAAGGAAACCTTATTCTAGGAATTTGGAAGTTTCATGGTTCAGATGAAATTCAAATTTGTGAGCATCATTGCAGAATGTGTTGCATCACTGTTACTTGAGTTTTCACTTGCTATTCCTACTTCTGAGACCTAGACTCCAGTGTCATATTCTTTAGCAGTAGGAAGGGTGAACTGGACTTAATTGTTCTTCAAATTATAAAAACTCAATTGAGACCAGCAAATTTGAACATGCAGTGTAGTCTTAAAAGTCAGCCATAATCAAGTCTTTTTGCCTCTTAAGAGATTTTTGACATCAGTTAAATTTGTGCCTTTTATTGTGGCTGGGTTTTTCTGTTGTTGGATGATGTAGGGCCACAGGGTATGGGACTGGTAAGCATTTTACAGTTTACTATATGTCTTTTTGGATCCCTGGGTGGTACACATGGTTAACAAGCTCAACTGCTAGCTGAAAAGGTAGGTTTAGGTCCACCCAGAGGTGCCTTGGAAGAAAGGCCTTGCAATCTACTTCTGAAAAATCAGCTATTGAAAACATGAAATACAATTCTACTCTGATACACATGGGGCCATCATGAGTTGGAATTGATTGAACTGCTACTGGTTGGTTCTATGTCTTTTTTTTTTTTTTTGGTTCTATATATTTTTATAAGCATTATTTCCAAAATAGGATGAGGCTTGCAATCATATATTTGAAGATTTTATTGTGTACTTTGTATAATCTTAACTGCTTACTGTATTTAGACTGAGTGTTTATTCCTAGGGAGCTCTGGTGGTGTAGTGCCTAAGGTATTTGACTGCTAACCAGAAGACTGGGGATTCAAACCCACCAGCCACTCTTTGGAAGGAAGGTTGGGCAATCTACTTCCATAGTGATACTGCCTCGGAAGCCCAAGGAGGGGTCACTATGAGTCGGATCCAACTTGACGGTCCTAGAAATGAAACTGAGACTATCATGTCATTTTAAGTTCTTGGGTAACATCAAAGCATAGGAATTTATCTAAAGTCTATCAAGAATTGTTAAGACATCCATTGCATGCAGCTTTTTTTTTTCAGTCCAATGTAAAACACTGAAAAGGTATATCAGCATTTTATCCATAATTCTTAATTAGACTGTTAGCTTCAGAGACAGCTTGGATAGGAAATAAATGTTTAAATGTTAATCCATGTATGTAAATTAGAAATGCTTTTCTAGATTTCTTAGAGTTTGTTTAAAAAGCATTTCTAGGGATTTAATTAGGCCATCGAATGGCCAAATAATAATATCACTACCAATAATAGCTAACATTTAGTGGGCACTTGCTATGTGCCAGGCACAATACCTACTCTTCACTTACTGACCATCTCATTTCACATTTATGACAATAGGAAAAAAGTCTATCTGATTATTCTGCACATTAATGATGTACATTTGGCAAACACTGAAGTACAAGGTGAGAGTAATGCTGGCTGTGATAGTTATGTGTCAACATGGCTAGGCCGTGGTTCTTCTCAGTGGTTTGGCAGTTATGTAATGATGTAATTTGGTAGTCATGTAATATAATTAGGCAGTTATGCAATGATGTAGTCATCCTCCATTTTTTTTTTATCTGATGTTATCCTCCATTTTTGCATAACTCCAATTTTTGTGTAACAACCTGGTCTTTGGTAGCTAGCCATGTTGATAAGTGAAGAGTGGGTATATTCTATATTTTTAAGGAATTTTTTAACAACAAATTTATTGAGATATATCAAAGATCCACCCTTGTAAAGTGTACAAGGCAGTGTTTCTTAGTATATGCACATATTTGTGCAGCCATCACCACTATCTAATTTTAGAACATTTCATCACAAAGAACCCCATACCCATTAGCAGTCACTACCCATTCTCCTCCCAGCCTCTAGCAAAGACTTTATGTCTCAGTGGATTTGGCCAGGCACTATTAAGTGCCTTTCATACATCTCCTCCTAATCCTTACAACATAAAGTGCTACCATTCTTGTAAGTAGGAAATTGAAGCAGAGAAGGGCTGAGTACCTTGCCCAAGGTCACACAATAAATTGCTTTCAAAAAGAATAACTCATTAGATGAAAGCATAGTAGGACACAGTTTTGAATTGCGTTGTTACGTACAGAAATGAATGTACCCTTCCTGGGGTGTGTTTACTGTCATTAGTCATTACCTTCATGGACTGACTGGAGGTAGGTAAAGAACTCTCATTCTTTTTGCTGAGTAATGGGACACTGTATTAGCATCTGAGAAGAACACAAGGGTAGTTGTGTAAGCTCAACTGGCATAACATACTATACAAAACATTGTTCCATCTCCTACTTTGGCGAGTAGCAACTGGGATCTTAAAA